TCTGGAATGTTAAGACTTCCATTAAGCACAGTAAATACACTGTTTTGACTTTAGGATTCTAAGTTTTTCTCTTTTTATTACAGGATTAAATAGTTAAGCAATTCTTAACATCTGCCTTAAATTGGTGCACAATTAAGTCTGCTTAAATTTCAATGAGTGAACTGTCTTAAACATGCTTAAAAACATGTTCTTAGCTTGAAAGCATGGAATATTTTACATAAAATGAGTTAATGCATTTTAATAAGTTAAAAAACTTTTATTCCTGTTTTAGAAGAATAAAGAGAATCAAGACAAGATGAAATGTGCCTCTTGACAACATGACCAACTTCTTAGTCTTAAGTGATCAAACCCTTAAATAGGGCGACCGGGGGGAGGGGGGAGAGATAATTTTATTCTTAAAAAGTAGGATCTATGAGGTAACAATTTACTCAATGTATATAGAATAAATAATATAGAACTCATTCATAACTCGACAGAAAATAAATTAATCTGAAAATTATAATAGCTTTTGCTATGATTCCATCAAAGCACAAAATAAACAATTTTTCTCCTTAATTCTACAAGACATTAACTGTATACACTAAAATCTACATCAGAATTCCATAATGCTGGCTTTTAAAGAACGTGACAGCTTTGTCTACAACGAATTTGAAATATGATTTGCTATAAAACAGCTTGAAACTTTGGGTCTTTCACAAAATCTTAAATATCTACTAAGAAGAGGGAAAGAGCTTCTGAATAGATAAAAGTAAAATCTTGATTCTTATATAAAATATTATGCATTTTAATAAGATTTTTGCCTGATTTATGTAAAGCTTTGTGTTTTTCATTTTCCCTAGCCTGTCACTTTGTAGTGATGTATGAAGCATTTTAGCATCAAGTTTGCCATGAGCAATAAAGTCACTGCCCCTAAGAAATATTAATATATTTCCACTTTTTTATCCTCTCTCCAGGATGTTCTTATTCAGCTTATTTGGTTTCACTTCACATAGTTGGCCAGCATAATTTTTAGTCTCACAGTAATATTTTAAAGCTTTGCACAGCTAAAAAATATCCGTGTCAAACACAGTACAGTGTGTACTAAGAAGGTATATTTGAAAATGAGGAACATGGTCTTGGGACAAAGAAAATATTTCTATGAAGAAGCTGCATTTTAAAGAAAATACTAGAGGCAAACACAAAGAAAAGTTCCAATGATAACTATTTGTTTTTCCTGGTTCAGATTGCCCCATAAAGTTTTGCAGCTCACAATGGAATTGAAAATTATTCACGGAAAGTCAGAGGCTCTACAACTTTGGGGATCAGTAAGCATACTTGGAGTTTTCAGATAATGGCTACAACCACAGAATGACTGTTATACTGGTCACAGCCAATTGTGAAATTTCATTTAATAGAAGGCAATTTACAAAGCAATGAGCTTGCCCAGTATGATCATAAATCGTGATGTTGGTAAAGCAGGTCATCATATGACCAACCAAATTTTACAACTTTTTTGATGAGTGTGAGAAATGCAGTCATGTAACTGTGTGTGGGGGGGTCAACCATCAGAACCGGGTCTTAAGTACGCTGGGGCAGGTTTGTCATAACTTCAAAGTTAAGGACTAACCATTCAGTTGTCATTGTTGGGTAGAACTTCAGTAATAAAAACGAATGCTTTACCTAGGATGTCATTTTTATTCCAGATAATACCAATCAGGGTGACTGATTTAAACAATATCAGAAACACATTTCTAAATGTATACAAATATTTGACTTGCAACAATTTCTATAATGACTGTTTGAACTTACAATGGCATTGAAAAAAGTGACTTATGATTGATCTTCACATGACCATTGCGGCATCCCCACAGCCATGTGATTCGGGCATTTGTGAACCAGCATGTATTTTACGATGGTTGTAATTTCCCAGGTTCAGGGGATCGCCATTTGCAACCTTCTCAGCCATCTTCCAACAAGAAAAGCCAATGGGGAAAGCTGGCGTTGTTTTAATGACCACATGATTCACTTAATATTGAAGTGATTTGTTTAACAACATGACAAAAAAGGTTGTAAAATCAGGCATGGCACACTTAACAACCATGTTGCTTAGCGCAAGAAATTCTAGTCACAATTATGGTTGTAAGTTGAGAACTAACTGTATGGCAAGATGAAAAAACAAGAATTAAATATAAATTGCTGCAAGATTCTAACGCAAGCGGTGGGCTAGGATTACTTGATCTAAAATTGTATTTTCCTTCTCATAAGCAAGTCGCCTTTATGGCTATAACAAGGCTATCTTCTATATTCTCTAGAATTCTGTTCAAGAGAGATTGGCGAGTTGATCCTGTCATTTCACTATTATGCTACTTACACTAAAAGATAAAGGTTTCTCCTGTCCAGTCATTTCCAACTCTAGGGGGCAGTGCTCATCTCCAATTCTTAGCCTAGAGAGCCGGCCTTGCCAAAGACATTTCCGTGGTCATGTGGCCAGACACCGAGATACACGGAATGCTGTTATCTTCCCATCAAAGTGCATTTAAATGCTTTCAAACTGCTAGGTGAGCAGCAGCTGGGACAAATAATGGGAGCTCAACCCATTGCACGGCACTCGGGTCTTGAAGCTCAGTGTCCTTAACTGATGAGCCATCGTGCCCCTCTACTTGCAACAAAATTATGACCAAATCATATTCTTTTTCTAATCAGCAAATATTGTTCAAAATAAATATTCCTACATATCATCGGTCTGTACATCTCACTCAAACATATAAATTACACATAAATTACACACACAGAGAGAGAGAGAGAGAGAGAGAGAGAGAGAGAGAGAGAGAGAGAGAGAGAGANATGAGCAATAAAGTCACTGCCCCTAAGAAATATTAATATATTTCCACTTTTTTATCCTCTCTCCAGGATGTTCTTATTCAGCTTATTTGGTTTCACTTCACATAGTTGGCCAGCATAATTTTTAGTCTCACAGTAATATTTTAAAGCTTTGCACAGCTAAAAAATATCCGTGTCAAACACAGTACAGTGTGTACTAAGAGGGTATATTTGAAAATGAGGAACATGGTCTTGGGACAAAGAAAATATTTCTATGAAGAAGCTGTATTTTAAAGAAAATACTAGAGGCAAACACAAAGAAAAGTTCCAATGATAACTATTTGTTTTTCCTGGTTCAGATTGCCCCATAAAGTTTTGCAGCTCACAATGGAATTGAAAATTATTCACGGAAAGTCAGAGGCTCTACAACTTTGGGGATCAGTAAGCATACTTGGAGTTTTCAGATAATGGCTACAACCACAGAATGACTGTTATACTGGTCACAGCCAATTGTGAAATTTCATTTAATAGAAGGCAATTTACAAAGCAATGAGTTTGCCCAGTATGATCATAAATCGTGATGTTGGTAAAGCAGGTCATCATATGACCAACCAAATTTTACAACTTTTTTGATGAGTGTGAGAAATGCAGTCATGTAACTGTATGTGTGGGGGTCAACCATCAGAACTTCAAAACCGGGTCTTAAGTACGTTGGGGCAGGTTTGTCATAACTTCAAAGTTGAGGACTAACCATTCAGTTGTCATTGTTGGGTAGAACTTCAGTAATAAAAACGAATGCTTTACCTAGGATGTCATTTTTATTCCAGATAATACCAATCAGGGTGACTGGTTTAAACAATATCAGAAACACATTTCTAAATGTATACAAATATTCGACTTACAACGATTTCTATAATGACTGTTTGAAGTTACAATGGCATTGAAAAAAGTGACTTATGATTGATCTTCACATGACCATTGTGGCATCCCCACAGCCATGTGATTTGGGCATTTGTGAACCAGCATGTATTTTACGATGGTTGTAATTTCCCAGGTTCAGGGGATCGCCATTTGCAACCTTCTCAGCCATCTTCCAACAAGAAAAGCCAATGGGGAAAGCTGGCGTTGTTTTAATGACCATATGATTCACTTAATATTGAAGTGATTTGTTTAACAACATGACAAAAAAGGTCGTAAAATCAGGCATGGCACACTTAACAACCATGTTGCTTAGCGCAAGAAATTCTAGTCACAATTATGGTTGTAAGTTGAGAACTATCTGTATGGCAAGATGAAAAAACAAGAATTAAATATAAATTGCTGCAAGATTCTAACGCAAGAGGTGGGCTAGGATTACTTGATCTAAAATTGTATTTTCCTTCTCATAAGCAAGTCGCCTTTATGGCTATAACAAGGCTATCTTCTATATTCTCTAGAATTCTGTTCAAGAGAGATTGGTGAGTTGATCCTGTCATTTCACTATTATGCTACTTACACTAAAAGATAAAGGTTTCCCCTGTCCAGTCATTTCCAACTCTAGGGGGCAGTGCTCATCTACAATTCTTAGCCTAGAGAGCCGGCCTTGTCCAAAGACATTTCCGTGGTCATGTGGCCAGACACCGAGGTACACGGAATGCTGTTATCGTCCCCTCAAAGTGCATTTAAATGCTTTCAAACTGCTAGGTGGGCAGCAGCTGGGACAAATAATGGGAGCTCAACCCATTGAACGGCACTCGGGTCTTGAAGCTCAGTGTCCTTAACTGATGAGCCATCGTGCCCCTCTACTTGCAATAAAATTATGACCAAATCATATTCTTTTTCTAATCAGCAAATATTGTTCAAAATAAATATTCCTACATATCATCGGTCTGTACATCTCACTCAAACATATAAATTACACATAAACACATGGACACAGAGAGAGAGAGAGAGAGTCAAAAACTAACAGTCTTCTCAAATGATGGCTCTGCTTCAAACACATTCCTCTTTTTCAAGAACAATTTCTCAATCATTTGTAATTCAAACAAATTCATTTTGTTTCTAGATATCATCTCAGTAAATGTAAAACAACGCTTCTTCATCCCAATACATAAATAATTATTTGAAGAAAGAAACCCATCATTTTCCTACCAGCAAATATGGCATCTTCCCTGAGATTCTAAATGACAAGCTAAATAAAAATGTTGGAATGTTGGACTTGCCTTATCTTCCAAATGTAACTTTAATAGGCGGAGATAAGCCACAGGGGCAAATGCATCTGCTGAATGTACAACTACTTCTGATGAGTCCCTATAACACAAAATTTTTAAAGTGTATTGAAAAATAAACTGTATTGTTGTATTAAAAGCAAAACAAACAAAAATAACCCACAGGTACTTTTATCAAAAGCCAACTGGACTTTCTTGGGGTTTTTTTTCTTTGAAAATGTTTTGCTTCTCATCTAAAAAGCTTTTTCAGTTCTAACTGACTGGTGGGGAATGGAAGGATTGATATTCTTCAAAGACTTTCTTGGGTTTTTTTTCTTTGAAAATGTTTCTAGTGGGGAATCAAAGGATTTATATTCTTTGAAAACGTTTCTCACTGGAAACATTTTCAAAGAAAAAAACAACAAGAAAGTCTAGTTGCCTTTTGGAAAAAGCACCTTTGGGACAATCATACCTGGATAATTAAGAATCTCCATACACAAAACAAAAATAAATAATCAGAACTATATCATAGATGTATAAAATAAGAATTATACTACCTTTGTGCTATCTGAGATTGCTTGTTTTCTTGCAGACGTTTCATTACCCAAACTAGAAAACATCATTAGGGATGATCAGTGCTCTGATGCACTGATGATGTTACCTAGTTTGGGTAATGAAATGTCTGCAAGAAAACAAGCAAGTTCAGAGAGCACCAAGGACCCCTCATGTCAACGCTAAGCTACAAATATTCTCCTTTATTAGTAATTATATTACCACTTATAGCATTTAAATCAGTCTGAATTGGGTTCGGTTTTAATAAATAACAGATGCAAATGACTAGTCTTTGCTCCAAATAATGTGAATGGGTGCCACTTATACAGTTCAAGACAGATGGAAGTTCTGTTTGGAACATAAAGGAAAGGGAGGGGGATTTGGAGTCCAAAGGAAAGGTATTGGGAATCATCACAAAGAACCATGTCTTTATGGAAAATATCTGCCTTACCTGAGAAGGCAGCTCATACCCACTACAGGTTCTCATTGAAGAATTTCAGCACTATATGTTAAATGGCTTCCTTGAAAACCAAATGGATCACATCCTTTATTCATTTGGAATAAAACAGAAGTGAAGCTGAACTCAAAGGGTTTGTACTCAAGCCTTGATTCATACGAGAACTTATGGCCATTATACTAAAATAACTTTATAGAAAGACACCTAGGAAATCTGAAATATTCATAACATAACTAACAAAAAGATTTGGGGAGATAACATCTTTTAAAGCTCAACTTTTCCCAACTTGGTGACCTCCACATAAGCTGGAATATACATTTCATAATCGCCAAACAATGTACTTACGACTGTACTAGTTGGCATTAGAAGTAAAAAAAAAATAAATAAATTTGACAAATAAATATAATCCAACACACCTGGAAATTATCAGGTTTGAGAAGGTTGCTGCCCCTTTGCATTCTATGTATCTTCAGAGTAAGATTATTTATTTACATATATTATTTATGAGACAGTGCAGTTGATGCATTCAGTCAGAAACATTTCCTACATTTATCAGGAGGGTAATTTTCTTCTTGAAATACTCTACTTCTCAGATAATTTTATCAAACTGTATCTACCTGGGGTTACTCCCGAGTGGGGCATTTGAGGTCTATAAACAAATGATCCTTCTTCATTGCAGTTATTGATCTGAACACGGGATAAAGCAGATACTCCATAAATTCAGATGAAAGGGGTTTCATCGAAATATTTTCCTTAATACATGCAGTCTAACTTCTTTGCCATAATTATACTGACAAATCTACATAGTTATAATAAATTCTCCATATGTCTATACATACATTTTAAGAATATATAGAAAAAAAATAACTCGGGGCAAACTGGAAAGGTTCAAAACATTAGCATTCTAAAGCATCCCTCAGCAATTCAAACAAAATGTTTAGCATTATCATTCTAACTTGCTAATGTTAAAATGGTAAAAAAAAAAAGGGGGGGGAAGAAGGGCGGGAGGGAGGGAGAATGAAAGAGAAAAGGGAAATAGAGTTAATGGAACCTACAGGCTACTGATGTGGCAGTTTATCAAATGTAGCTGTAATGAAAGATAAATATTACTGGCAATTCGCACTTCATGAAAGGATAAAAGTGTCAGTGTGTAGGTACCAGTTTTACTGCAGGCCATAATCAGCAAGTAAACGAAAGTGCAAATGTCTAAAAAGTTTATAGCTTTCTATGAAGGCCCCATCTTGTCAGGCATTGATTTAGGTTAGTGGAGGGCTTTGCCAGTGTTAAACAAAGTGGGTATTTGTGAACTTAGAGGATATGTTTTGCTGCTGCCAAGAAAAGTGGCCTAAAGCTAAATATTAGTATGGTCCCAGTGCTAACATTTAAAGAAAAGAGAAGACATGGGTCCTTACACAACGATTTTCTTCTTAAACAGAGGGCAATCCAATGTGAATGTTTCATATTCTCCCCCTTCTCCACAGATATGGACTCCATACTTCTGAGAAAGCTGAAAAAGGAACAAAATGCTTTGAGGAATAGTACAAAGGGTTCTTATAAACTGAATTTAAGTGAATTCAATTTATCCACAATACATCGAAGGAATACAATACAATACAATTCAAAAAGACAAAATCAACAGATAAGCGACAGAATAAAGAAAAAACTGGCAAGTCTAGCTAATAGCACAAACCAAATGCAGTTTCAACATTAAAAAGATGTGTCAACAAAATTTGCAAGGAACTCTAAGCAAAGGCCTGGGAGAACAGCCAGGTTTTAAGAACCTCTTGAGCAGTATCCGGGATTGTGGTGGGTGAGGGTGTGAGTCCTCTGGATTTCAGGAGGCAGGGGTCGTGAAAAATAAAGTGAGAAATATGCAAGAATGTGCAGTACTCAAAGCTGTATTACACTGCTAACAGTACATCAGAGTTTGTAGGACTGAAATGTACATATCCTTATTGAAAAGGTAATCCCTCTTTTGATAAATGAGACTTAATCAAGTCAATGAGACACGCATAGGATGGCAGCTTATACTGTTCCTAAGACTGGATGCTGATTCTATTTTCAATTTAATCCTCATCTAGGTATGATAAATATTTTCAGTTGAAGAGTGGCAAATAAATACTATTCTTTCAAGATGCTGTTATTTCTACACCGGGCAAGCAAGTTGGGTGTGAGGTCTCAAAGATGTCAGAAAATTATAGGAACTGTTGCAGACCCATTTATTCACTTTCAGAGTTGGTACAATATCCTGTCTCAATCATAGGTCTCTAGAACTCTTGATCTTTACAACGCTACCGACAGGCTACTGCCACCAACTTGAGCAAATCCTTATTCAACACACAATTCAGCTATATTAGTTCAAATATAGTTCTACACCAGATCAAGAACACAGACACACTGGATTAGGCACAACACAGATACAAAAGTGAGGAAAAAAACCCTCACATAATGTTCAGATAACAATTATTGCATAAAATATGAATGGTAATCCCCAAATTTATTGATGGTTCATCAATAATACAGAAAATGGGAAACTGGCCAATTTGAGCTGTTTGATATGCATCCTGTCTTTCTATCAAAGCTAGTCTTTTATAGTCTTCAGAGAATTTCTTGACAGTGCTAGCATCAACAAAGGACTAGCTGACTGAAGTGGCATACAAATATTAAATTATTAAGGGAGAGCTAATACAAATGACCAATGGAAAGCCACCAGAGGATTATCTGTTGGGTCCTTGGTGGTCTCTTAGTCTTATTTTTTTCTTACAGACATTTAATTGCTAGACTAGACTATATCATCATCAGAAACTCACATCTGGGATGTAATACAAGGCCATATGTACTTCATAAATGGGGTTTATTTGTAATATGTCAGTGTGCCAAACTTCTAGGAATTCTGTAGCATTCTTAGTCCTAGTTTGATCTAAAATGTCTAGAGCTTCCTAATTGACACTGAACTGAATTTACCAACAGTATGTCCTGTGAAATTAATGAATTTTCATTCATATCTCCTGGCAGCCTGTTGATACTTGTGGATGCATTCTGCCAATCTTCTATCTGCTTGTCTTACTCCCTTCTCACAGTCCTTACACTGTATTTTGCAAATGACTTCTGGATTAATAATAGTTTCTACTTGAAATATTTCATAGGTCTGACTATGAATTGGAATCGAATATTTCTGCCCTTGTCCTCTGATTCCTGGCTCAGCCGACAACTTACACAGGAAAGAACTAAAGCTTCCTTTGTTTGTTTATTCAATTTGTATGACTGCCTGATTTAGCAAGTGACTGTGGGCATTGAACAATCTTAAAATAAATTAAGAAACAAATTATCATCGTATATACAAAAATTAAAATACACTGTAGCCAAGAAAGATGTCACAATCAATGGTTGTTAACACAACCAAGAGATGGGACCCTTCACCCGCTTGAGACCTGGGCCCAGACCCAGGCCCAAATAGTTGCTAACTTAAATGCCTCTCTAAAACAGAGGTCCCCAACCTTTTGAGCACCAGGGACCGGTTACATGGAGAGAGGTTTTTCCAAGGACCAGAAGGTGCGTGGTTTTGTGTACTGCCTGTATCCTGCAAATGAATATATTATGTGTCACATAATGGAAACATGTCTATTTACACATTTTGGATGGCTAGCCGAATATATATAAGTACATATGTATTTGTATTCAAATGTAGATCAAATTATCTTTTCAGGTTCTGGGTTATCAGACATTTTCCTTTCAATGAGCAAATATCCCTTTGTCTAAATTTCTTTGTCTAAAAATAACCAAACATTCTTTTAATCAAGCTTTCACTTCCAAAGTTTATGCTGCTGACAAAAAGTATAGCTCCACCTGTCAGAAGCTGCTGTAAAGTTCTTGCAGGACAAATCCCTCAAAAATAATTAATGCTGATGCAGCAAGAATGCCAACTTACAAAACTGTTAGTTAAAACAACTTATTCTTCCCCCTTTCAACATTACTCTTGGAAAGCTGCTGGAAATGGAAACCATGTCAGGGAAAAGTGGCTACAAATTAGAGCTTTATTTGGAAAAAAATATGATTGTTCTCCCTTACTGAAGCATCCAATAAGCACTTCCCAACAAGAAAAAAATATTTACAAGTTTCCTAAAATTATTTGTTCTAATAATGCCTTTTTGGTGCCACAAATCTTTCCTGGACATCAAGATCAAATACTTTAAGAGTTCCTACTGGTGTTATAACTGCTTGGAGTGGAATATCTTAGCTTCCTGTTGCTGGAACATCTTCCCGATTTACTGCAGGCAACATGCCCATACAATAAGATGTGCCTGCTTCGGAAGGTAGGTTGAATGAACTATTTGAACTCCAGACAAATCTCCAGTAACCGATCAGGAAAGGAACTAGGAACTGCAAAAAGAGGCTGTTCTTCTTCTATTAAGCAATGTAAGATTTTAGTATAGATACTATAGTTAACATTCTGACCACAGTTCAAGGTCATTCTAAAACAAAAGCAATAGCTTCCAGTCTCTATTTTGGACATGCCAGATGAGAACAGAGTCAGCCTTGTCAAAATAAAGCATGGTTTGCGTGTGTGTGTGTGTGTGTGCGTGCGCGCATAAATAGATTATAAACAGTTTTAATATATCCCATTATAACTAGGACACAATTATTTGTTCAAGAATTCATTATTTTTTTTAAAAAAAATTATGCGTGAATGCACCTATGTCTTAAGGCAGGAGTTCTGGACCGTCGGGTGGTGGCCCATTACTGGGCTGTGAGCCATTCAGAACTGGGCTGTGGAAGTGGCAGGTGAGCATGCACATTCCCAGTTGCACGAGTAGCGGGCGAACGCAGTGTGCGCATGTTCCATTTCCATGAGTGGTGGGCACATGTTCGCTTGCCGGCTGCTTGCACGGAACCATCCCTTCTCCTCCTCCTCACACACCCAGCCGGTCCACAAAGCTGGAAAGGTTGGGGAACCCTGTCTTAAGGAATAATGGCATGCTCTGGCTATTATTAGAAGAATCTCAGAATAAATAAAACTTTTTATATGCTTATTAATAATCAGGCATATAAATAATCTGTTATGGAAAAAGTGTGAGAAACTACAATAGCCTCCAGTCTTTTTGTACAACTACAATGGATAAAAAAAAAGAATATCTAAAATTGAATATGATTCAGTACAAATATTAATGGGTTTAGTATGATGTGCATATTAATCACCGGGAGTCAAAAATAACTTGATGTTACGTTATCAATCAAACAATGAAATACAACTGGTAATCTGGAAGGCAGCAAAAGACTAGAAGCTTTATATTTGTCAGACTCAAATTATTTAAGGCCCTTCATAAGCAGAAGATAACGTAAATACTGGTTAAACATGGATCTACCAATTTTACCCTGGGAAAGGGTAGCTATAAAATATAGCTGACTCCAAAAAGTATAGATTCTCAATAGCCGATGCACCTACTTCAATCTCCAGAATTCTCAGCCATGGCAATTGTGGTGGGGAATTCTGAGAGTTGAAGTCCATATATTTGAAATATGACACATATGGGAAACACTGTTCTAAATAATAATCAAAGAAGGCTACAGACAGCAGCATAGTAGTTTAACCTTGTGAATGCTGTCCTTAGAAGTTTCTAAATTTTCCTTCTTAAAGGCAGGTGTTAGACTTCAGATAACGTTTGGTCATCTAGAATTTTCTAGATTCAAGTTATCAAAAATCTGAAGACAGGAACACACAAGTTTATATGTAATTATTTGGATTCTATTGTGTTCAATAAATAGGGGATTAAGAAATGGAGCAATTAGATCTTGCCTATGACAAATGTCTAAAAAAGCATTTAGCTAATTTCTTTCTGATACTGCTATCTCTCTCTCCCTAGCAATCTCTCTCTCACACACACAAACCACCCCCTGACAGAATTCAAAGAAAATATTTTTAGAACTATAGCCTTTACTTTCTCTGCAGCTGGTGTTTATGCTTCAGTTTCAGTAAGTTATAAAGTTAGCTAAATATCTAGTAAAATATTTATGTATGCTGACATTTACTGGGAAACACAAACCCAACCAAAATAAGAATTTATTGAGCAATGTTCTTTTACACTGCTGTAGTTTTGGCCTCCAACTGTCATGGTTCAACTATGACAAAATGCATGAAAAGCAATCTAATATGAGGAAAAAGGAATATTTCTACCTTTAGAAGGTTGCACAAATAGGTGACTTTAAAAGCTTACATACTGTAGATCTGATCTTAGCTTTCGTGTCTCTGCATATGGATGGATGTTTGTGGGTTTGTGAAGACAGTGCAACAACTTTCTGTAACACATGTAATAAAAGTGTTCCAGTGACAAATCATTGAAAAGAATATACAGATAGTCCTATCATCACAACTGAGCCCAAAAGTTCCACTGCTAAGCAAGACAGTTGTTAAGTGAGTTTTGCCCCATTTTACAACTTTTCTTCCTGCAGTTGTTAAGTGAATCACTGCAGTTATTTAGTTAGTAACGTGGTTGTTATGTTACTCAACCACTAACAACAATGGGGAACAACAGCTTTCCCATTGACTTTGCTTGTCAGAAGGTTGCAAAAGGTGATCACATAACCGTGGGATACTGCAACTATCATCAATACGTGCCAGTTACCAAAGCGTCTGATTTTGATCACGTGACCATGAGACTACTGCATTGGGTATATCTAGTTTAACGAAGAGAAGGACGAGGGGGGACATGATAGCAGTGTTCCAATATCTCAGGGGCTGCCACAAAGAAGAGGGAGTCAAGCTATTCTCCAAAGCGCCTGAAGGCAGGACAAGAAGCAATGGATGGAAACTAATCAAGGAGAGAAGCAATCTAGAACTAAGGAGAAACTTCCTGATAGACAGAACAATTAACCAGTGGAACAAGCTGCCTCCAGAAGCAGTGAATGCTCCAACTCTGGAAGTTTTTAAGAGACTGGACAGCCATTTGTCCAAAATGGTATAGTGTTTCCTGCCTTTGCAGGGAGTTGGACTAGATGACCTCCAAAGTCCCTTCCAACTTTATTATTACTATTACTATTATTATTATTATTAGTGTGAAAAATGCTCAGAAGTGACTTTTTAGTGTGTTTGTAACTTTGGTCACTAAACAAATGGCTATAAGAACTACCTGTAATATAACTACAATATATAAGCTCACAAATGCTTATATACATAGTCCTTGTTTAATAACTGCCTCATTTAGCAATCCTTTGTAATTACAGTGGTGATGAAAAAGTAACAGTATGACCAATCCTCACATTTATGACCTTTGCAGGTCTGTAAAGCAAAGGAAAGCTGAAATACATAACCACAATCACAGTTTCACTTATCAACTGCTTCACTTAACACCCAAGTTGCCAGTTCCAATTGTGGTCACTAAACAAAGGCTACCTGTACAGGAACAAAAAAGTGTGCTGGTGCCACCTCAGAATGACTCCTGATAGGTAGGAAGTTTTTTTCTCTTTTGCTGACCATCTGCTGATTTTGCTGCCAAAGCTGGTTCTTCGGCAGCGTTGCTCCATGGATTTGAATGGGGGCACTTAGGAAAGACCCAGCATGACATCTGGGTGGCTGTAGTTTAAAAATTATTTGGGCCTGTTTTGCAAGGGGTGGGAAACTAATATTGCTGTATTATATTAATCAGTATTCAACTAGGAGGGATAATATGTGTATATGTATTAGGTTTTTTTGTAATGCACTTTTTAAATGTCCTGTTTGTTTTGTGTTTTTTCTTTGTTTCCTTAAACAGTTTTGGTGTTTTATATTTAAAATAAGCATAGTTAAAGAAGGAAGAAAAAAGTTAGAATCCACAAATACACAAAAAACTAATGACAACTAGAAGTATTTCTAGCAACTACTTAGATTTTTCAAGCAAATTTCTAAAGGAAAGTAGTTTTAAAAAAAATAATCCAAAGCTAATATTATCAAAGAACTTCTTAGTCATGGAGATGTAAAGATGCAGGAAAAGAAAAAAAAATTAAATTTCTAAGACAATCCCTTCTTCTCCCCCCCCCCTTTTTTTTTAAAAAAAAATACACTTTTTGGACTTCCCTCTACCCAAAATATTTTGGAAACATTTTCAAATGTGTAAGTGATTAAAATATGTTTTAAAAACTGGCCTATGCAGGGGAAACAAACTAAATCAAAAACTAAATGGACATATTCAAGGTTAAAGAATTTTGTCTCAATACAAGAAAATCTTCAGTATTCAGAAATCTATTAATAATAAAATATTAAGGGGTCAGAAGTAGAATCAATTCATAGTAATAATTGTCAGATTCAAGAAATGAAGCTGATTAAATATATTTTATGTAGTAAAGTTTGTATTCTGAAACTTCATATTCCTGAAAAATAGTGCTTTTTGTATTTGTTTGTTTGGAAGATCAAATCCAGAATGCATGGTAGTCTTTATCTTCCTACAAGGTCAAGCCTGAAAAAAGGTGCAACTGTCTTAAGAACATATTAAATGTAATGGGAATTCCATAAAGCCTAAGAATCTTTTTCCAGACTTATGCAAACACTTTATAGAAATAATATTTCAATGAATACAGCAGGCTGTACTTGAATGATGTCTGAAACATTTCTTCCAAATCATTCCAGAAGCATGTGGAGTCCTACTATTTTCTCACTAAAAGGTTACGTAAAAACATCCCTCGAGTCCAACTCAATTCTTGGCAATTCTTTCCAATTTATGCATTCCTTTTAGAATTGTTTCCCATCATATAGAAAAATAGTAAACTCCACCCAAACATTGCCACATTAAGAATATGAAAACAACATCCTACCATCATGCTTTACTAATTAAAGCTTTATTAACTTCAGTAGGTCTATTTTAAGCACGATTGCTGGAGAAAATCTATGAGATTGCTAAGAAGTGACACTGACTTGATGGCACATAATCAATCAATCAATTAATCTTAAGCATGAATCCAAATCTTATTTTTAATCAATTGTTCTTAAAGAAATAGAACATATGTAATTTGTTGATTAGGAAAATTCAGTTTGCTAAATTATGATCTAATGTTTTCTTTTTAAACCTGCATTCTTTAGGAATGAAGTGTGACTAGTTTTATTATTTTGAAGCACCATATATTTAATATATATTTTCAATAATACTTACTTTCAAAAGATAAGGTTCCATTTCATCCAATGTTTTTCCTAGATGTTTATCTGGATCTAAACCTGTCAAAAGGTTTAAATGTATTTTAGAAAACAAAGTACTGTTTGGGTGTTACGGTTTACTCTTTTTTTAACATTTTAAAAGAAACTATTAAAAAAAAAACCAATTCCTGTTTATCAAAAATAACTTTGGGGAAACAAAGTTGTTCTTATCCAGAACATACTCTCTTACTTTCTTTGAACTGCTGATTTTTATCTTGGGCAAAAATAAGTTCATTTCCTTTGCCCTGTGCACCAAGTGGAAAGTATATTGTTTTAGTGCTTGCTTTCAAATAAATATTATAAAATAGAAAGCAAATTATACTATACATATTATGATAATGAAACAGTCAACTGAACTTAACAACTCTATAGTATATATTAAATATATCACCCTACGCAGCTTTCTAAGGCTAAGTTGGAACATTGATAAATTTACTATTATGACTTAAGCTATTTCTCTTCTCAGTCCAGCCATTTCTTTTATTTTTTATAATATAATTTTATTGAACTTAAGTATAAAATATAAAAATGAAAATAATGGGAAAAGGGAAAAAGTGAAATATGGGATAAAGGGGCAAAAAGAAAAAAAGCATTAATTTCCTTTTCGGTGCAGAAGAATGAACATAATAATGTTACAACTTCATTTTTTACTTTGCATACTCTGTATATACAAGTCATTTCTATAACAAACAAAAAAATTGTCTGATCCATAAATCCCAAAATCAAAGTTTCATTTTTTTCTATCTCAAGCACAAAATCCAGAAGCAGTTTCCAAATAGAAATAAAGTTAGATGCCTTCTTCTCGTTAATTAAAGCAGTTAATTTGGCCATCTCTGCTAGTTCCACCAGTTTCTTCAGTTTCTCCAACCATTCTTCCATTGTGGGACTTATTATATGTTTCCATTTTTGTTCTGCTGTCAACATGTTTAACAAAATTCCATTTTTTTTAAATGCTTTGTCCATTAAACCCAGAAGAGTCTATGGTTTAAGTTGTATATTCATTTTAAGAAGCTTACACTGGTATTTCAAGTCCACCAAGGTTCCAACATATATTTGAAGTACTTTTATACATCTTTGACAATTTATGGGGTTCTAAATACCATCGGCACAGCATTTTATAAAAATTTTCTTTTAAGTTATAGTTCAATGTAAATTTTAAACCCTTCATCCACACGTGTTTCCATTATTCAAGAATTTATTATACCCAAAATTCTTTTGAATCATGCATTGTTTCAGACAATTGTTTTCCGAATTAAATTTCAATTACAATTTATAAACCTTGGCAATAACCTGTTCATCATTTCCACATAATACAATTTCAAATTAATTTTTGCAAGATTAAATCTGTAACTTTTTTGTCTAGTTTAAATCTTTGTCTCAATTGTATATTTGTAAACCAAATATCTACAGAATGCTAGAGTTGGAAGAGACCTTGGAGTTCAACCCCCTGCTCAAGCACGAGACCCTATACCACTTCAGACAAGTGGCTGTCCAGTCTCTTCTTAAGAGCCTCCGGTGATGAAGCACCTACAACTTCTGAATGCAAGCTGTTTCATTGGTTAATCGTGGATTATGACAATTAACCAGTGGATGACAACCAGTGGATGACAATAACAATGAGAGTTCCTTCTGACTCCAACTCTTCTTTAGACAAAATAATAGGTTCACAATGAACGTTATTATTTGACCATAACTCCGCCAATCTGGAGACACCATCGTTTCTTTTCTGAAAAAAGCTTCCTGAGGTGATCCTCAAACAGTTACTGTCATAGAGAATCCTGTTTTACATTTATCCCAAATCCTTAGTATGGCACATCTAACAAAAGGATTATTAAATCAACCTTATCATACTATAAGCAGGAGTATCATTCATCTTATTTCATGGCTCTCTAATTTGAATAATCTTCTTGGTTGTCAATTTTGGTAGAAATAAAAATAACATCATTGGTAAGACATTTATCTTAATTACAGAGATTCTACCCAACAGGGATAATTGCAAATTATCCTATATTAATCAGTCCTTTTAATGTCATTCCATACAGGTACAAAATTGTTTGAAGTTCGTATTTGTCGATGTAAACCCAAGGTATTTAGCCTTTTTCTCCACCCGACTTTCTTATCATTATTTCATAATCTTAAGAAGTCATATTCTTAACAAGCATTTTCATCTTCTGTTTATTTTGAAGCCGGCTAAAGCTCCAAAGTCATTTAGCTTCTTCATCAAGTGTTCTATGCCAGTTTTGGGGTCTTGCATAAACAAGTAAGTCATCAGTGAAAGCTTGTTTTTATTTTTATGCCTACTATTTTCTCATCCTCTATCTTATATCTCTATTTAAAACTTCCAAAACTAATATAAACAAGTGAAATAGAGGACATCCTTATCTTGTAACCTTTTGAATTTCACATGGTTTAGTTAAATCTCCATTAATGATAATCTTTGCTTGCTGTGATGTTGCTTTAAACCCTTGGATAAATTTCTCTCCAAAATTTATGTCTTCCACAAGTTTAACCATAAAGTTCTAACTTATCAAAAGCTTTCTCCACATTCTGGAATATTAGAGCTGTTATGAAAGTACAAGTATTCAGTAACATTCAAAACAATTCTCACATTGTCTCTCAGCTGTCTTTTGGACAAAAAGCTAGATTGATGTTCATGAATGTAGGACTATAGAAATTTCTTCAGTCTTTCTTCCAGTGTTGCAGTAAAATGTTTTTAGTCTATTGTTTAGTAATGAAATTGGTCTATAATTTTTTATCTTCAGAACATCTTGACCTTCCTTTGGTAATAATACAATATTAGTTTCTTTCTAAGTTTGCAGAAACTATCCTCCCTGTAGTACACAATTCATTATATCCCTTAGTAGCTGTAGAAGTCGATCCTCAAAATATTTATAATGCTGGCTTGTGAGGCCATCCGGACCCAGAGCTTTACCAATTTTAACTTTTTTTAATCACTTCTGATATTTCAAAGGCAGTTATTGGTTCATTCATAAATTGCTTCTGAGCTTCTGAGAGCTTAGTAAGTATTGTTTTGCAAATAATCCTCTATTTTTTTTTCATAACTACAGGTAATCCTCAAATTGCAATCACAATTGAGCCCAAAATTTATGTCGCTAAGTGAAATATTTGTTAAGTAAGTTTTGCCCCAATTTACGACCTTTCTTTCCACAATTGTTAAGTGAATCATTGCTATTGTTAAGTTAGTAACATTGTTATTAAGTGAATCTGGCTTCTTCATTGACTTTGTTTGTTAAGTCACAAAAGCTGTTTGCATGACACCTGGTATCATAAATATGAACCAGTTGCCAAGCATCTGAATTTTGATCAAATCACCAATGGTCATATGTCTCTTTTTTTAGTGCCGTTGTAACTTTGAACAGTTACAAAATGAACTGTTGTAAGTCACGTACTTCCTGTTTCTTATAGAAATTGCAATACAGCTTCTTGAATTTTCTCTATCATTTTCTTTTCTCAGTTTATATGTCAATCATCTTCCTGGTATATTTGCAAATTGAAAATTCACATAATTCAGTTTCATTTCGATTTCACAGACTGTTAACATAGACAGTTGCTTACGTAGCAATTTAATTTGGTGTAAAATTTGGTGCATTTTGCAGTTCAGTTTCTCTACTTCTAATTTCATTCAGTATATTTTACATCTTTCCCTGGGATTTCTTTTTCTCTAGACAGTATTATTGTATGAAATAATATTTCATAACCTCTTTGCTGACATCCCAGTCAGTAGTAGTAGTTTATTGATTAGTCTTATGACCTTATCAATAAAATAAAATACAGTTAATTTGTCCAAATTATTGTTAAAATATTTTCTTTCCTTTTACAATCATCTCTTTCTGTAAAATAGAATAATTCATTCTTCAGCTATATTTCAAAATCTTTTTTTTCTGAATATCAACATTTGGATTGTTGATCTGAGAATGATTTGGTAATAATATAAACTTCTGAGATTTTATTTGTGATATTTTTAGAAATCTATATGTCAATTCTTGAGAATGATTTATTTGCTTTGCCCAGTAATTTCTTGAACACTTTCTTAGGCCCAAGCTAGACATAATACTATGCAAGTGGATGAAATTCATATGAATATCTTTTGTCACATAAATACTGTAGCAGCATCAGAAAATCTTGATCAGACTCTAGTCTAGACAACGAAAGACCTCTCACAGCCATGGGAAAAGTATTAAAACTTATTTCCCTAAACTTATTTGTTTTTCAAGAGTAAGCTCCATTGATACAAATTCTCATAAAAAGTGAACATAAATTATATGCACCATTTTTATTGCTGAAAACATAGCTCATTGTGCTTGTAGGACTTATGCTGCAATACATTCTAGATAAACTCTGAGCTTCCAGATGTGCTGGATTTTAAATGCCATTAATCAGCTTGGCTGGGCTAATGAGAAATGGAGTCCAGTTATTTGGGAAATGTTCCAGATTCCCAATCCCAATTATAGGGTTGCAGTCTAAACCTACACTTGACTTTCACAGGGTTGAAGCATCTGCCCACCTCTTCTACAAAGCACATATTTCTTTATTCAGTGTTTATTTCTTCTAATGGCAAAAAGCCAAACATTTTGGGAGCATTTATAAGTAGCATATGGAATCAAAACTTCCTTTTGTTTTTGTTGCCACTTTTGGTACTTAGCAACAGTCTGTTCTACCTTCCTATATCTTTTCTCGTTCTTTGATATACTTCAAGGATATCCTTTCATTTTTTCCCTTCTATGGTATTAATTTTAGATTAAAAAGCATGATGTATTTTTACCGTTCTCTTCTAAAACAAATTTGTTGGGAGATGATATTATTTGCAGACCAAAGCCTACAAACAACACATAGCACTGCTATTGGATACTGTGTCCTTTAAATGATATTTATTCAAACATAAAGTTTAATTTTGTTCACTCTGCCCAACTGTTGTAAACATGTGTTTCCAAAAAGATCTATGAACAATTATCGACAATTTGATAAAATATAGACGATATTCTCTTAATCAGGAGCTTAAT